TAGGAAGCAGCCCGTAGCAGTTGTCTAAATCCCAGGTACCTATTTACTGCTAGGTGCACAGGAGGGCTTCAGAGTGAAAGAAACTCTGCCCATTTGTTTCCGCCTCCACCGGGGATCGAACCCGGAACTTCAAGACTAAAATCCCGAGCGCTCTCCACGTCTGCTGGAACTAGACATGACTAAGGCTGTTGGGCCAGGTAGAAGAACACTCCTCACCAGTTCGTGACACTCCCTCGCTAGTTGGTGGCACCCCCTCGCTAGTTGGTGGCACCCCCTCACCAGTTGGTGGCACTGCCTCACCAGTTGGTGGCACTCCCTCACCAGTTGGTGGCACCCCCTCACCAGTTCGTGGCACTCCCTCACCAGTTGGTGGCACCCCCTCATCACTATACTGATAAGAGAGATTAACAACATCGCTACAAAAGAGGCGCTCATGTTAACCAGACTCTTATCTTGCTTCACAAACTGACATCATCCTTGATATATATATGATGTCTCGTGTGTACTCACCTAGTAGTGCTTGCGGGGATTGAGCTTTGGCTCTTTGGTCCCGCCTCTCAACTGTCAATCAACAGGTGTACAGATTCCTGAGCCTACTGGGCTCTATCATATCTACACTTGAAACTGTGTATGGAGTCAGCCTCCACCACATCACTGCCTAATGCATTCCATCTGTTAACTACTCTGACACTGAAAAAGTTCCTTCTAACGTCTCTGTGGCTCATGTGGGTACTCAGTTTCCACCTGTGTCCCCTTGTTCGCGTCCCACCAGTGTTGAATAGTTTATCCTTGTTTACCCGGTCGATTCCCCTGAGGATTTTGTAGGTTGTGATCATGTCTCCCCTTACTCTTCTGTCTTCCAGTGTCGTAAGGTGCATTTCCCGCAGCCTTTCCTCGTAACTCATGCCTCTTAGTTCTGGGACTAGTCTAGTGGCATACCTTTGGACTTTTTCCAGCTTCGTCTTGTGCTTGACAAGGTACGGGCTCCATGCTGGGGCCGCATACTCCAGGATTGGTCTTACATATGTGGTGTACAAGATTCTGAATGATTCCTTACACAGGTTCCTGAACGCTGTTCTGATGTTAGCCAGCCTCGCATATGCCGCAGACGTTATTCTTTTTATGTGGGCTTCAGGAGACAGGTTTGGTGTGATATCAACTCCTAGATCTTTCTCTCTGTTCGTTTCATTAAGTACTTCATCTCCTATTCTGTATCCTGTGTTTGGCCTCCTATTTCCACCACCTAGTTTCATTACTTTGCATTTACTCGGGTTGAACTTCAACAGCCATTTGTTAGACCATTCACTCAAGTCTGTCTAGGTCATCTTGTAGCCTCCTACTATCGTCCTCAGTTTCAATCCTCCTCATAATTTTTGCATCATCGGCAAACATTGAGAGAAACGATTCTATACCCTCTGGAAGATCATTTACATATATCAGAAACAGTATAGGTCCAAGGACTGACCCCTGCGGTACTCCACTCGTAACGTCTCGCCAATCTGAGACCTCACCCCTCACACTGACTCGTTGTCTCCTGTTACTGAGGTACTCCTGTATCCAACGGAGTACCTTCCCTTTCACTCCAGCCTGCATCTCCAGTTTTTTCACTAGCCTCTTGTGTGACACTGTGTCAAAGGCTTTCTGACAATCCAAAAATATGCAGTCTGCCCACCCTTCTCTTTCTTGACTTATTTTTGTTGCCTGGTCGTAGAATTCAAGTAACCCTGTGAGGTAGGACCTGCCATCCCTGAATCCATGTTGATGCTGTGTTACAAAGTTCTTTCTGTGTGTGTGTGTGTGTGTGTGTGTGTGTGTGTGTGTGTGTGTGTGTGTGTGTGTGTGTGTGTGTGTGTGTGTGTGTGTGTGTGCGCGCTATACTAGTTAAGAACACACATAAGAACGAGGCTAAGGTACACAGCAATCAGATTTGGCGCTTGGCCAACATACAGGGATCTGAAAGTTACAAGGCCTTGTCTACCATGTATACCTGGAGTATACCTGTAGTCGCTTTGAAGAGTTCTTCTCACCCTGTTGAAGCCCAGTTGAGACACGTTTGGATGCAACAATCACGTGGAACGACACCGTTTTGGCAACAGTCATAGCTGAGAGGAACAAACTGCCTCCCTGGTGCAGAATGCAAACAAAATTTTGGTAAATTTTGCTTGTATATGCAACGTATATGTATACTCAGCGGCCGGTAGGCCTATTGGATCCGGCGCATATGGGGCACTATAGGCCTACGGAACCTGCCTTGCATGGGCCAGTAGGCTTAGTGCAGTAGTCTTAGTTTTTTCTTGATGGTATTTGGAATGCGGTAGAGAGAGAGAGAGAGAGAGAGAGAGAGAGAGAGAGAGAGAGAGAGAGAGAGAGAGAGAGAGAGAGAGAGAGAGAGAGAGAGAGAGAGAGAGAGAGAGAGAGGGGGGGGGGGTATCAAGCCTTGATGAACACAACAATGACCTGACCGCCATATCACCAGAGATGAGCCCAGAGGGCAGCACCAGGGAGGCGACACTGATAACATTGTGTTCACCCAAACTACCACACACACACACACACACACACACACACACACACACACACACACACACACACACACACCACACACACCACACACACCACCCACACACACACACGCACACGCACACACGCTGTAAGGTATTTTTGGGTGCGGTATCAACACTTCCCCCTGCCACACCCAGCCATCCCCCAAACACTACCACCATTTCCAGCCCTTGTGCCCTCACTACCACCACTACCACCACACCACCCACTCACACTACCACCACACCACCCACTCACACTACCACCACACCACCCACTCACACTACCACCACTACCACCACACCACCCACTCACACTACCACCACACCACCCACTCACACTACCACCACACCACCCACTCACACTACCACCACTACCACCACACCACCCACTCACACTACCACCACACCACCCACTCACACTACCACCACTACCACCACACCAACCACTCACACTACCACCACTACCACCACACCACCCACTCACACTACCACCACTACCACCACATCACCCACTCACACTACCACCACTACCACCACACCAACCACTCACACTACCACCACTACCACCACACCACCCACTCACACTACCACCACACCACCCACTCACACTACCACCACACCACCCACTCACACTACCACCACTACCACCACACCAACCACTCACACTACCACCACTACCACCACACCACCCACTCACACTACCACCACTACCACCACACCACCCACTCACACTACCACCACACCACCCACTCACACTACCACCACATCACCCACTCACACTACCACCACACCAACCACTCACACTACCACCACTACCACCACCAAGGTTCCCATAGGATACGCTTCAGAGGAATTATGTCATATAACCACTTTTTTAATAATTCAAAACAGGAGATCTCTCACAAATTATAGACCAGCATCAATGCCAATTACTTCTTGCCAAGTAATGGAGAAAATAATGGGAATAATGGAATTCCCTAGAGAGGATTAACTTTGTAATGGAAGATGAAGAAGGATTTAGGCCATAGAAGGAAAAAATCCTGCCCTGACTTTACATGTCCTAACTCTACATCAATGTTAGTAAAAATACAATATACACAATAACTGCTTGGTTTACTGTATTTTTTCAATGTATATATCTACATCCCCCTCTCCACCCCTTAGGTATATACATATATCTATGTATATACGTAGACTAACTGACTGCCTCTTTCACACAGAAAATGGTTGTGATGGACTTGGAAGCCAGGGAGAGGGGGGGGGGGTCAGTAGAAAGCACTTAGGCCTATAAGCCCAAGGCTATATATCACTTGGAAGGGATATGAGGATAAGGATTTAGGCCAGGGCGGTGTCCAACCACTTGGACGCTCGGGGGATTGAACACCGGCCTGCAAGAAGCGAGACCGTCCAGCCCAAGTGGTTGGGCTTATTGTTACATAAAAAGGCTTCGGAGAGAGAGAGAGAGAGAGAGAGAGAGAGAGAGAGAGAGAGAGAGAGAGAGAGAGAGAGAGAGAGAGAGAGAGGAAAGAATTAAGACAAATGGGATTAAATGACCGAAGCCTTAATAAGTCTATTCTGCTACTTAGCTACTGGGAAACAAGGAGCCTGGATGACGTCTAGGTAGTTACACCCTGTCTGTAGTTAGGTTGTTCCAGAACTAGTTAGCGATCACTTTGTCTTGTTGAATAGCCACTGGTGGGGGTGGGGGGGAGGGGGGGAGGAATGACTTTCCGGAACTAGTTAAAGACCACTTTGCCTAGTTTAGTTCCACTTAACGAGGTAAGGGGACAATAACGTAGTTAAAGACTTGAGGAGTGGGAGAGACATGACCTCTATGCCAGGGGGTTATAAAGACCACACACACAAGAGCCAGATAGTGCCGAGCTAAGGGTCAACACGAGGTCAGTGTCAGAGGGTCAACACATATGTCACCAGCACATATATGCCAGCCGTGACACACACCTGTAGGATCTCCAGCGGTATCCTCTTTATTAACACATTAACTAAAGTCAGACTTAAATCTGCCCCCCATTTCGAACGCAGGTTGGATCCCACTCACCTGCCCCCAAAGACTTTCCCAATACATATTATCACGTCACCGAAGCCGTAACGTGAGCAATATCGGACCTCACCCTAAGCCAACAATGTCCCACCTCACCTAATACACCCTAAATTAGCCGTACACTGCTGCTTAACACGTGGAAAACGTGGGATGAAGGATCCTGCTGCATGGGTAACAGCTTCTCTGCTGCATGGGTAACAGCTTCTCCGCTGCATGGGTAACAGCTTCTCCTCCATATCGACCTACTCAGGCTTTGCGCCCTGGAGAAGTCACTCCAGCCTCGACCACCAGAGCGAAACACTACATAGTCTCCCATGACTGCTGTATTACAACTACTGTATGCGGGCTTAACGAGGCCAGCCTCGTTGAACTGCCTCGTGTACCATGTCACTCACCTCTTGGGCCGGTACTATCCTTCACTCATCTATCCCGCTGTCGAGCTCTGAAACACAGACAAACACACGTCAACAAACTCATTAACAACAAAACTCTATATACACAAGGTGTAAAGTGACAAGAAAACATGGAAAATAAACCCCCAGTCATTATATAGTAACAACTATAGAAAATGGGACAATAACGAGGGGTAACACAACTATTACAACCATACACACTTTGTGTGTTTGGTCCCCTGGTACTCATCTAGTTGTGGTTGCGGGGGTTGAGCTCTGGCTCTTTGGTCCCGCCTCTCAACTGTCAATCAACTGGTGTACAGGTTCCTGAGCCTACTGGGCTCTATCATATCTATATTTGAAACTGTGTATGGAGCCAGCCTCCACCACATCACTGCCTAATGCATTCCATTTATTAACTACTCTGACACTGAAAAAATTCTTGCTAACGTCTCTGTGGCTCATCTGGGTACTAAGTTTCCACCTGTGTCCCCTTGTTCGTGTCCCACCTGTGATGAAGAGTTTGTCTTTGTCCACCCTGTCAATTCCCCTGAGAATTTTGTAGGTGGTTATCATGTCTCCCCTTACGCTTCTGTTTTCCAGGGACGTGAGGTTCAGCTCAGTGGTGATAGTGACCACTTGATCCCCTGGTGATAGTGACCATTTGACAAGATGTAAAGCAGTTACGTACTGGTGCCCAGTCAATCTTCACTAGCCAGGATGCATGAACTATCTCTCTCTCAAACCTCACTCGGTTCCCTGTCATGTTCCATTATTTCACTGCATTTCTCTACAGCTGGGTTCGAACCCCGACGTGACAACCCCTCCCCCCCTCACGTGACATCTCCCCC